TTTTTTTTTTTTTTTTTTTTTTTTTTTTTTTTTTTTTTTTTTTTCTTTTTTTTTTTTTTTTTTTTTTAATCAAAGTTTGAAAAAATACTTTTATTTAGTTATATTTCTTTGTTAACATGCATACAAAGCATTGGGTAGTGCGAATGTTGATACTTTTTGGTTTCTTAAATATCTGGGGGCTCTCTAAGCTCTCCCTTGGCAGAAACTAATTAAAAAATTAAGATTTAAATCTACCACAATATAAAATTTCTGAAACTATAATTATAGTACTTATAAATAGTGCCTGGTTGTAACAAAGTGTACATCTTAAGGTGGTTCTTCACCTAACCCATTAACTTAAACTTACAGGGAAACTTGGAGGGATTGTTATTAAAGTTATAAGGCATCTTCTCTTTATCAGGCAAATTTTTGAAAACAAGTCAGTCAAAAAATGCACTTTTAACATGTATTCTTATGTAGGTTACTTTTCCATACTACGATATCATGTAATATCTCGTAAAGTAGACTTAAGATCTTAATAGAAAAAGTTTGTAGTGAAAGAAGAACTTTTTAGCTTTCTAATAATATAACAAAAGTATGGGCTAATCAGGGAAATAGTATACATTTAATCGTAAACGTAATCAGTTATCGATCATGCAGAAATCGGCGGCAACGTCTGCTTGAGTAGGAGCGTACATGCCATTTTCAGAACCTTGCGTCAAAAAAAAATTTTTTCATAACTCTTACTCTGACTTTATTAGCATGTTTATTTGTATGTAAATGCAATGATATTATAGTCAAGTGTCAGTACAACATATTTTATGTTGCAAATAATACGCTAATCGAAAATTAGAAAACCACAGGGTCCCGTGTCGCTTTGATACGGCACCATCGTGAAGAACCACCTTAAATTTGAAATAACATGATTGAAATGAAAATTCAGAAAAGAGTTTGTTTTTCAGCTTTTATAAGAGCTGGGCAAATAATATTTAAAACTTTGTAGAGTAATGTATGGATCTAACTAATCATGATGTTTTAACTCTCTCAGCTCATGCATAAACTATAATTCAAAACTTAATTTGAATGCATCAAGCTTTCATTGGATACTCTCTTATACTTATATCATTTCAATTCATGTAAAAGCTGGGGAGTTAAGACATCATGAACAGTGGAACCATTAAACTGTGTATGATCACTTTTTGCACCGTACAAGTAAGTATATTCAAGTAAATATAGTCTTTTTTTATATGATAGTGTACTGACCCCATATATTTTGGAGCATGTACACTCAGTACATCAATATAATCAACCCTCATGTATACTTAATAAAAATGTATGTATATACAAACACCCTAAGCAATATAAATATTTTTTAATTTAGTAGGGCACCATTTTAAAGTACACATAAAGTACACAACGCAATACTCACGATTATATCGATCTTGATTCGTCTTATCTTGAAAAATCAAGACAACATTTAACCAAGATGTACGTGAAAGATTAGAGATAACATCAATATCAACATATGAAGAAATTTGTCTTGTCAAGATGTTTAACTCAAGATCTTGGGTACATACACCTTGTACTTGAATTATATGTAGCAAATATTAAGTTTTTGATTGAACAGCTTGGAAAAAGTTGTAAAAAATTCAACAAGACCGTTCTGTAATATTATTGCCAAAAAGGATTATTGATAAGGAACCTGAACTTTTATATTTGTTTTGTAATTTGCAAACCATACGTTTCTTTGAGGGTATTACAGGAATTTACGTACTTCTCACAATTCTGCGATAATTGAATGCTAAAGAGGCTTGGACTTACCGTGAAATCAATATCATCATTTGTACAGATCAACTGTCGCATGACTGAAGCCTTTTTATTTTAAGTGTCATTGATTAGTCGAGTTTAAAAAATAATTAAAATGAAATATAAAAAGAATTTAAACGTGTATATTGCAAAACGATCTATATAGTGATACTGTTTCGTCTGTTTATTCATTGTTTATCTCAAAAAAAAAATAACCGGAAAAGATCTAAGTACAGTTATGTTTAATCAAGTTGTAAGTTACGTCGAATTGCATATAATGAAGTGGTCCTAATATAAAAAACGTAGGTTTTCATTGAAAAAAATTAAAAAAATTAATAAATAATAAAATTAAGTATTTATTATACCATGGAGTTTAAATCAAAAATTATCAAAAAAAAAAAAAAATCGTAAATGCAAAATTCATAGTTATTATTAAATTCAGATCGCGCGAAACATGCCTAATATAATTAGTTAAATCGAACTGTTGAAAAGTGTTACTATAAATAATGTCGTTGATATTCAATTTATTGTATATTTGAGGTCTTATAAGTAAACCGTGTGTATAAATTGTTTTATCAATCTATATAGAATATGTTTTTTACTTGACAAGTCTTTTTCAATTTCAATGAAACATTTTTTTAATAATTTAATATCGTATACTATTAGAGATCGATACTTTCAATATTTGAAAAAAATATCAAGATTTCGATTGTATGTCAAGACAATATCAAGATCGTGTGAACAATAATATTCCAAGAACAAGACAAGACTTAAACTTTTAGATTTTTTCAAAATGAAAATCTTTAAAACCTCGTATTATTGTCTCGCCTCGCGGCATCCTTACGTTGTGTATGTTGTAATTTTACTTTTTGCTCTGATGATAAAGCATCGTAATTGTGCTTTACGAGTTAAAACTTGATTTTTTTCTTAAGTATTACTTTTTTTTCAGAATAAAAAAGTATCTTCAACTTTTCTTAAATTTTTAATGGTTCTCGCAGCTTGGGAGGAAAAAGGTACCGATTCAGAAATCACTGTAAGTTTTCTGATAGTGAACGTTATAGTGCTATTATTTAATTTGAAAGACGCGCGATTGGCCGAATTGGTAGAATTTTCAAATTGGCTTCTTGTTATTCCTCCCAACCGACGCCGTTTTCACTCGATTAAGTTTGGAGAGAAGGTCTACTTTGAACAAAAAAGAATGAATCATCAAACGCGCCCGATTTTGTTCCGCTCTCTCCTATATATA